ATAAATATCCAAAGATTATCAGAATAATAAAAATTTATAATTGCATAAAAACAATTATTGTTAGTTAATCGTCACTTATTTCTTGGAATTCATTGTTTGCCGAAGTTGTTGGCCATGCAAAAACCTCTTTATAGAAGTTTTGGTACTCTTCTATTAAACATGGAATATATTTTTCTATTTTTTTTCAAATCTGATATACTTTTTTTCATTGATAGCCAATTTTCCAACATACTACTTATTGGTAAGGTTCGCCTTTGACCCATCCTTTGTAATAGGTGGAAATCATAACCGACTAAACAATCTATGGATTCACATGTTGTCACTAAACCTGGCGTGGTCTTGGAGTACGGCAAATGTGACACATTAGAAATACCAAAAGTTATTTTTTTGTCCTTGGGTACTTCTCTTCCATAGGAATCCACAGATAGCACAAGTTTTTTATAATGGTTTAGCTACCATTTTTTTTACATCAATAACATCTTTAGTTTTGGGCCTTCTAATTTCAAATTTTTTGTTTGCTTCAGCAATAAGATTTTCATATTCTGTTGGTGTCTAAATCCGGTCATTTTTTCGAATATGTCGTTTTGCTGTTCCAAAAATTCTATCGTTTGGAAAAAATGAGTGACCTCTTTTTGGTATGTAATATTGTATTTCATTTATATTACTACCTAGTTCAGCTACCATTGATAAAAGTATTCAAATATTGAAACATTAGCACTATAGTCCTTAACGTTTATTAACTGAATTTTTAACGTTTATTAACTTTTTTTTTTTTTTTTTTTGTCATTTAGGTGCTCCAAGAAGACCGAACGGTCTTGTCACAGAGCACCGCGGAAGTGCGTTTAACCAAGAAGTTCACGCCTCCTTCCTTACCTTTACGCAAAAACATGTCCAGAGCTCGTTTCGAACCTGGATCTCCTGATTATAAAGCAAGCGCTGTAACCACTGCGCCACGGCCGCACAAATTTTTGGATATCTTATTGGGTTACAAATTTGTTCAAACTCTCAGTTTTTTCGGAAGTTATAAATTTATCCAAATCTTCAATTTTAATAAATGAAAACTCCTTCTCTTCTTTTAAATCATCTCAAATTTCGTTTTTGACAAGCAAAGTAGTCGTAGATACTGACAAATTGCTGTTTTGACCAATGTGTTCCGGTCTGATAATTTTTTATTAACTTTTTATTTTTTGTAAATGCGATGCATTTAAGTAAAGCTGCACTGATTAGTGCAGATTCGCGCCTTATGGTACAGTATGAACACAAGAAGCCCTCCAGCTTTCATCTGAGACTGGTATCCCAAAAGAAGTTCCACTCTGGATCTACACTAGAGGACACTTAGCGGGGTCAAGTACAACTTGCATATAATTGTAAGAAATTTTTTTGACATGAGTTGATAAGTGCGGTTGTTTGTCGCAGTATAACAAAGGAAGTGAAAGTTGTGAACTGTCTTGAGTTCTTATAGCTGTGTATGTAATGTAAATAGTCAATGCAGTGTACATATGTGTGTCTACTGATACTCTGTATATATATATTTTACAAGTAATAATCTAGAGTCATATGGAATTTTGTATTTTGTATAAATGAAAAGATTAACTATGCATATGTCACGTGACTGTTATGTAACCAGGAGTATCTGAAGTGGAGTAGTATTATTTGTTTTATAAAACAGTTAAAAAAACAAAATCAGCCATGCTATACATACAGTTTTTTTTTTTTTTTTAAACTGTATGTATAACATGGCTGATTTTGTTTGATTTACAATAAATATTTAATAATAAGAATAATATAATATGAGGAATAATTATAGAAGAAAATCCAAATAATTTAAAAAAGAGAAAAGTAAAGTATCAATTTAGGGTGTGAGGTATATGAGCATAAGCATGTGTTTTTTAATGTTGTAAGTAACCTTTAACGCTGAAATTAAATTTTGTACCTCGTATAAATGACAAGATTAACTGTACATATATCACGTGATTGTAATGTTATGAGGAAAATCTAAATTGGAGTAGATTAATTCCGTTTTATGAAACAGTTAGCAGACAGCCTCTAGTCAATTAAACAAACTGTATGTATAGGGTGGCCTGTTTTGTGTTTAATTATATTCATAGTGACTTTTGTCTTAAGTATGAGTTTTTTTTAGAAGCTGGTTATCAAAATTAAGTAATTAACTAACTATCAAAATTAATTAATCTAGTAATAATGTGAAAACTGTTTTTTTATTCTTTATTAGCTTAATAAATCTCTATTAGTATTATCCTAATATTTTAAGAGTGTAAAAACAATACATTAAAAATAACATGAGTTTATATTTAAATTTAATAATTAAGTGTTATTACTTATCTTTTATAAAGAGATGTGTATGTAAAAAATCTGGAGTAGAATTATTCGCAGAATTATTTGTAGAATTATATATATATATATATATATATATATATATATATATATATATATATATATATATATATATATATATATATATATATATATATATATATATATATATATATATATATATATATATATATATATATATATATATATATATATATATATATATATATATATATATATATATATATATATATATATATATATATATATATATATATATATATATATATATATATATATATATATATATATATATATATAAATATATATATATATATATATATATATATATATATATATATATATAAATATATATATATATATATATATATATATATATATATATATATATATATATATTTATACACACAAACATTCATACATTTTATTTATATATTACTATACATTTTTCATTTAATATGAGGTTTTACATTTACGAATATTTAAATTTTCATACTTTAAATAAATTATAATAAAAAACTTACCAGAAGAATATATATCACCATATCAAGAAAAAAAAGGAAGTAGACTACTTTAAATAAAAACCTGGTATCTGATAGAAGATCAATGATATTGTCGCCGGAATCATAAGACGTTATAATAAAATATAACTTAAGACAATAATGAATATGTACATAATTGAAAATACAAAAGCTCCTTATTTTTAAAAGTATTTAAAATTTAAAAATATTATCATTAAAAAAAATGAATTCTTTTAATTTCTTTTTAAAGACTTGGAAGGTAATTGATAAATCAAAATTACTTCAAACAATTTTGTTCCAGACATTTGGTGCACGATTAGCTATATAGAACTGATTGAAATTTGTCTGACAAAAGAGTTCTTAGTAAGTTATCATTTCGTATTTTTTGTTTTAAAGGTAAGAAAATCTTTAAAAATGAGTAATGATGGATTGATTATACATTGAAACATAAAAAATATTTTATATACACTCGCTTCATAAATATTAAAGTCTTTAGTATTTTTAAATAAAAAATTTGTATGCGAAAGACGCTTTTCAAAACAAACAAAGCGTTTTGCCTGTTTCTGGCAATGATAATGAGAACGAAACTTGCTTTTACTTGAACTTTCCCAATATTTGTAATTTTTAGCAGGGTTGTTGGTAAAAAAAACTTTCAAGATTGTTAATAAATTCTGTTTGTATTTGCACAATGTAGATAAAGTTTAATTAAAACAAGAATTTCCATATTTTTAACGTCATCAGGCAGATCAAGAAGAAGAAGGTTAAAGTAATTAATGTAAGATGCAGCTGAAAACTTGGATTTTTTTATTATATTTTTAAGGACATTGTAAGCATTAGCTGATGAACGAATATTTCCCAGAGTTCTGAGTTCACCATAAGTTTAAAAGTCTTACATTTTTTCTTTTGCTAATGTTACACTAAATGCAAGAATATTGATACTTTCAATTCCAAAAAGTAGATTAGCATTTTCATATTAAAAGCACAAAAGTATTTTAAGTCATTTAGCTTCAAAATAGTGATAACTTTTTCAAGATTACATTAATATACAATAATAAACTAATAATATAAATAATATAATAATAATTACAAAACTAAAAAATTTGTTTACTCCATCATCTTTTTATTTTTTATTGCCTATTTCTTCCTCATTGATAAACTTTTTTTTTTTCGACATTTTTTTACGTTCTGTTACTATTACATATTCTTTTTCTATAACATATAAAGAAACATTTAAAAATCTGCCTCCAACGTCAATGCATACCTTTAGAATGTTCTCCTCTGATAATTTTCTCTCCTTTACTACTGTTTCAACAAGTACTTTTATTTTTTTACGATAAACGAATAGTCTGGAATCGTTTTCAAAAATATTTCTGTTACATCGAAAGAATCGCCATTATGAAAGTTTCATTGTTTAAATCAAATGATTTTAAAAAGAATAATAATGCCACACTTCCTTCTTTAACATTAGTCATTCCTGATTTTTTTGAAAAAACTGAGGCTCTATAATCTTTGTGAGATTTTTTATTGTTTATCATTTTAAAACAATATGAGCAATAGTAATCAACTCTTAAAATGTTTTTAAAACTGCTGCAGTAGAAAAAAAGTTTACGATATCTATTAATAAGTTTTCTTGTAGTATACCACAACGAAGTATACTAAAAAGAGGAAAACTGTTAATACTTTTAGCCTGTAATGTAAACGCTATTTACCATATTAACATATTATTTAAAATTTAGCACAAAATTAGGTCCCCAAGGTACAAATATTTTTATGGGGATTGGGAAACAGTAGCATTTTTAAAAAACTCTGCCATTATGAACGCGACTAAAATCCGACTGTAAAATTCTCATTTAGTAAAAAAAATATCTTAATGTTCAAAAGATATGACCTCGTAAAGTTGACAACCCCTCAAATAGAGGGGTTATCAAAGTCTCCTTGGTCGCCATTTTTCAACGATAAGAAATCAGTTTTTCCGACGAGTTTTGATCTTTTTTAAGATACTATAAAAAAAAGTTATTTTTTTCACCGTTTCATATTTGGCACAGTGGGTCTCAATTTTTCATGAAAAATTAACATAGAATGGTTGACATATCTACTTTAAAAAAAGAACGCAATTTAAAATTTTTGATTTTTTAAAATGATTTTAAAATTTAAACATAAGTTAAAGACGCTGTGATATATGTTAACTGATTGCTATTTTCTTTTATGAAAAATTAAGAATGCATTCAATTTGTTAATAATTTTTTTTATTTTTTATTTATATATATAATGGTTACAATCTTTAAAAATCACTAATTTACTAAATAAGTTATTATTAAATATTTACTTTAAGTTTAATAAATGTCAAAGTAAAATGCAGACGTTACTGTTTTCTTGATTACCAGAAGGCGCACTCCGACGCATATTAGCTAAATAAATAATCAAATACAGATATATAAAAAGTAAAGTTAATATGAAACTTTAAAAGAAATCATCCCTACCCTCGACGTAGATGTCTCTGTCAAATTGTGCACCTGTTACTCGGAAACTAAAAAATAGATTAGTGTAGTTTAACGTTAATCTAGAAATAAGTTTGTGATTACACGACAATAGAGAGACAATGTTGTGTAATCTGTGATTACGCAACATTGTTTACCAAAAACATTACTTTAGCATACATATAAAACAGGCAACATAACGGCAAATAAAAACGGTAACCGTTAAGTTAACGTTATTGTTGTCAAAAATAGCGTAAAATTAGTGTTTAACGTTTTAAAATAACGTTATGTATACTTCTTTACTTTTAAAATTTCGAATATATTGAAAAAAAAAATTAAAAAATATATCAGTCACTGATAAGAATAAAAACATTTAGTTTAGTCAGGCTTTAAAAATCTTTGACTTTTAAAAAATTTTCAATTTGTCACAGTTTCGGCTTTCTTTTTATATATAATTTAGGCTTTCGTTTTATATTCGCACAGTGGGCCAGAATTCACTTTTACTGAACAAAATTCAGGCGCGGATCTAGGGTATAGCCGTTGTGGCTAAGGCTACGCCTTAAAACAATTAACGAAATAAAAAATAATATAAATAATTAAGTTATTTTAGACAGCAAATAAATAAGTTTATTTTTATTTGGTGGGTAAAATCGGCTTTAAAAGTGACTACTTAAAACTAAAATCAGGTCGTATGTGGCTAAGCTACATACGACCTGATTTTGCGGCATAAGCTGACTATATTATGATTTTTTTAAGGCAATACTTTTTTATTGAAAAGTCGTATGCCGTTAACACTCGTAGCCCGTGGCTAGATTGCTTTTTGCCTTGTGGTTGTACTTATTTATATTTCCCAAACTTTTTATGCCCAGCTATTTTCAAATAAGGCTGCGCCTTAACTATTTTCTTAGTAAGTTGTTAATTATGACGGATATGTTTTGAAAAAATGCTGTTCCAAATGCTATTGATACTTCTCACATTCATAACATAAAACGTTGCGAAAAAAATTGTTTACAAAACCAAATGGTTTAAATATCTCACCAGTTTAATTTCATCGTTAACCTTTTGGCTTGAAAATGCCCAGATATAAATGTTTTTATACCATATTTTAAAATGGATCAAGGTTTTGTAGCTTTAAGGTATTTTTTTTAACTATGTTTTCACGAACTATATTTGCTATAAAAATAACATGCTTTTTGTAACTGTAACTATGTTTACTTATATACAACTGTTTCTGTACTCATCGTTATAAAATTCTTATAACATTCAACTAAAACATTCTTATTTTATTAAACAGGTTAATACTATTAATAATAGTTTTGCCACAGAGCCAGTGGCGGATTTAGTATAGAGCGTAGGGAGGAGGGCTAGAATGATTAAACGGTGCCCCCTGAAACATAAAAAAAATTATAAATTCAATTTACCAATAAAAAACAAAATGAAAAGAATAAAGGTAAGTACAAATGGAAAGAGAGAGAGAGGAATTATTTTAAAACAGAGGTTTTAAAATATTTCCTTTCGAAACATTGATATTAAACTCTGAAAAGAGAAACATTGATATTAAACTCTGCAGAGGACAAGCATATGATGGTGTTTATGTAATGTTTGGAATTAAAAGTGGTCTTCAAACTCGAATAAAAGCGCTTTCATCAAGTTCCACCTATGTTCATTGTTGTGCTCATGTTTTAAATTTGGTGACCTTCGAAGCAATGTCTGTAAACAGCAATGTCCAGATGTTTCTAGGCACAGCTCAAAAATTGTATAAGTACCTTACATCTAGTTTACCACGGCTTCATATTCTCCAAGAGCACCAGAAACGTCTATATGAATCAACAGTAGACACTCTGAAACGACTTTCTGATACAAGATGGGCAAGTAGGAAGCATGCAGTTGATGCTATTGTTGAATCTTTTTCCGTTATTCTAGCCATTCTAGAAGATATAAATCTAGGAGAATCTAAAGAACATACAGGAAAAGTTAGAGCAGAAGCTATTGGACTATCAGTTTTAATAAAAAAAACATTCATTTGTTTTTCTAATGTTATTTTTGCCAAACTTGTTAATTAATCTTTTTGTGTTATCTAACTATTTGCAAGGAATAGATATAGATATTTTATTTGCAAAACAGTTAATTTGTGTTACAAAACAAAAGTTTGTAGATACGATTAAGCTTTTTAAATTCTACATTTAGCAGTCAAACAAATTTATTAGTGAAAAATGTGCCAAACTAGATGTAGAAACTGAATTTAAAGAAAACTCTTCTTTCTTTAAATTCAGTTAACCTAACATCATACCAAAAAGAAACGCATGACAGGAGAGTTGTGGAGAGATAAAAGGGTTGATAATCTAACTACACGCCTAAATTGTGAAATATACTTCAATGTTTTCGATACAATTATAACCCAAATAAATAAACCATTTCACGACTTTAGTAACACAGTTACACATTTTGATTGCCTTGATCCGTCAAAATTATCTAAAGAAAAAATATAAACTCATTTAAAAAATGTCAAATTTATTGTAACGACGTCAATACTGAAGAAGCAGTCGTAGAGTATGAGACTTTCAATGATGTGTATGCATCGATATCCCCATCACTGACAACTGACATACAATTGAAAGATGTACTTCAGTTCTTGATAGAGAATTAGATAGCGACCGGTCTCCCTAACATGTCTATACTTTAAAAAATCTACTAGACTCTTACTGGTACATCTGCAAATGCTGAAAAAAGTTTCAGTGAAATAAAGACTACAAAAAATTATTTTTGAATAACAATGACAAACGAACGTCTTTCTGGATTAGCATTAATTTCTATTGAACGTGAGCTTACTAAAAACATTGACTTTGACATGTCGATAAATCGTTTTGCTTCAATGAAATCTCGCAGAATTTGTGTAAACTACATGAAAAGTGAATTTTTCTTCTAAATGCTAACCTTTGCAATATATCTAGTTAAATACATTTTTAAATGACTGAACTATTTCAGTAATATTAAATGTTTCTTAGTTTTTAAAAGATAATTGTTAACTAAAATAACCAAAAGAAATTAAAAAAAAATTAGGTTATTTAGTGTCTTATATGTATGTAATATGTATAAAAGTCATATAAAAACACTTATAAAGTGTTTTAGTAATGAAAATAATTTCTGGGGTTTAAAATACCACACCTAACCCTGGTCATTGACTTGCCCCCCCCCCCCCCCCCGCGACCATAAACCTCAATCCGCCACTGCACATAGGTATAATATATAATTTTTCAATTATTTACATTTATAGCAAAAAACAATAAAAATTGTTTATATAGTCTATATAAACAATTTTTATTGTTTTTTGCTATTAATGTAAATAATTGAAATATTACATCTTTATTTCTTTAAAAAAAAATTAAATTTTAATCTTCAAATTGAAACTTTAATTAAAGAAGATCTTATAAGTTGATTCTATTGTCATTAGAATCAACTATAATACAATATAGGAGACTCTCCTATAATATAAGAGAGTTCTCAAATAAAAAGTTGAAGGAAATATTTTCGGTCTACTTAATTTTGGAATTTATCCAGGTGAAACTAACTTATAAGATCATTTAATATCAGCCCCTAATAATGTCACATATATTTCTTAAACCACACAAAATCAACTTATGGAGTGTTGTAGTAAGGTTTTTGAGGAGATTCTTATTTCTGAAATCAATAAAAGCAAATACTATTTAATTTTAGCTGATAATGAATCTGATAGTCCAAGAGATTAAAAATACCTAGAGATTAAAAATACCTAAAGATTAAAAATACCTAGAGATTAAAAATACCTAAAGATTAAAAATACCTAGAGATTAAAAATACCTAGAGATTAAAAATACCTAGAGATTAAAAATACCTAGAGATTAAAAATACCTAGAGATCAAAAACTTATTTAAGAAGTAGAGTGCTAAAAAAGTGATTAAATGGCCTAGCCTTAATGTCAATTTATACAGATATGGTTCCAGATAAAGACAGGGTTAACAACATTTTTTCAGCTTCTGGAGAAGAGATGTTTAAAGTTGATATTAAAGCCTTAAATAATTGGCTATGATTGAATAATAATTATTATCTGTTAGAGCATCTTATTTTTTATTTGTTTTAAATGATTAATAAATAAATTTATTTTATATTTTGTGTACATTTCATAATCTTTGACATCTAAAATGTTAAATGTCTTAAAAAATGTTTTAAACTAAACAATGTATATGTAGGATTTTCTTAAAATTGAAAAGTTGTACGCAGCAACATATTTAGATCAACAATTTCATAATTTTAAACTTATATCAAACAAAACAGCAAAAACTTCTTGTTTTTAAAAAGCTCATTCTTTAGTTGTTCAATTAGGCCGTGAATTGCAACCAACACGAACAAGCCTTCAGTTGTCTAGTCAAGAGTCGTCATCTAATCAAAGAAGTCCATCAAAAAAAAAAGAAAAATATTGCTATGTGATGAAACAGTGTCATCAGAAGATTTGTTATCAGTAGACAACGAAATCATCAATTATTTAAATATTAGTATAAAAGAATGGGAAAATTGGTACCCTTATATTTTACAAAAATAACTTATGCCAATTTCCTGTTTTGTCAAAGATAGCGAAGATGCTCTTTTGTATAACTGCTTCACTAACGCCTTCTCAAGAGTTATTTTTAAGTGCTGCTGAAATCATTATATAACGGCAAAATAGACTTAAACCAGATTTGGCTGAACAATGTATCTTGTTAAACCAAGAAATATATATATAAAATGGTCATCTTATTTTTTTCTATTGTAACTTCTGTTTTGTTTGTTTATCCTTGATATAAATTAATCTGTTTTGTTTGTTTATCCTTGATATAAATTAATCTAATAGAATAATACCACCTAATTTTTTGTTTAGTCTCTTAAAGTTCTATTTATTTCATCTAAGAAATAAATTTCTGAGCAACATTTAAATATAATTTTAAAAAATTCAAATATTTTGACTAAATCAACTTTTTAAAATTCCACAAAATATTAGTCAATTTTGAAATACACCTTAATCAATTTAGTTGACAGT